GTCTAACCTCTCAATCAACCAAAGAGGAAGACCAAGTTCAGAAAAAGACTTCGCAGAAAAGGGAGCAAACTCTGCTTCAAGAGTCTCCTTCCCTCTGACAGCCTTGACTGCATTGTTCCTAACTGCCTTCATTTTAGGTTTGGCGACTTCAACTGTGGAAACAAGCGGCTCAAGCTTATTCCTCTCATCCTTGTCTGTTGCTTGAAGCTCACTTTTGAACCCAACGCTTGCAAGTGTGAGAGGCCCGTTTTCACGATCAGCCCGGCTCAAAAAGCGAACACTTCTGTGGAATGTAGCTACTCTAGAGAATCGTGAGAGCTTTCTTAAGCATAAAGATTCTCCAAGGGGGAGAAACCGTGCTGCACCTAAGGATGCCATGTTTACTGGCGTTTTTTCACTACTAGTTGTGCAAGTTATTCATAATTCATCATAGCCAAGCCTGGTCACAATATAGCCAGAGACAATCCTCCAAAAGAAAGCAAAATGATCTCCCCTCGACCTGCAAGTTAAATTTGATAAAAGAATATCATGTTCAGCATCAAGCCTGATAAATGGAACAAATATTATCTTGCGTTTGTGGATGAAAACTGATTTGAACTTTTGAAGTACCTAACAGAATGCGTAATACTACCGACTATCAAACACTACAGACATCAAGGAAGAATCAAATGCTAGCAGTAACATTCTTTCAAGAAAAGATAATTGAACATCATAATCATGCAGGTTATGTCTAAAAACCTGGGCATAGTGAACCACACTATTCACTACATGATACCAACTTCCCAACCCGATTGACCCCTTTCCGTTTTTGTTCAGCTAAATCACTTCAATGGTATAGCAATAAACCCTAAACCCTAAATGTTAAACCCTATCCTTTGAATCAAGTAATAAGCCTAGTGGAGTATATTAATTCTAGCAATTAAGAATAATTTGAGAGGTTTAGGGCAGTCTATAACCACCAGAGAAGAAAAATGGTACACTCTTTTTCTTCCAAAACTAATCTGCCGAGCATCATTTCTTCAAAACTACAAGTTCTCTAATTGTGGTTATCCTATTCAACTCGACGCCCCAAATTACATACCAAAGAGACAGACATATTTGTATCCATGCACATATGTATGGGGAGCTACTTTACCAACCAATCCTTTAGGGGGAAAAAAACCAAATTCCCCTCTGAGTGAGGCATTTTATCGAGCAAATGGAGACCAACAATAGTTCGAAAGGGGAAATTCGAATGGGTTCTCTTGGCAACCAAAAGGGATGCAACCAAGAAGGAGGAAATGAATTGAAACAGATATATAAATATATATGATAAATCCCAAACTCCAGTAGNGATGACTGGACATCAGTTGGAACAGTGAAACCTTCCCCGTCTAACCTCTCAATCAACCAAAGAGGAAGACCAAGTTCAGAAAAAGACTTCGCAGAAAAGGGAGCAAACTCTGCTTCAAGAGTCTCCTTCCCTCTGACAGCCTTGACTGCATTGTTCCTAACTGCCTTCATTTTAGGTTTGGCGACTTCAACTGTGGAAACAAGCGGCTCAAGCTTATTCCTCTCATCCTTGTCTGTTGCTTGAAGCTCACTTTTGAACCCAACGCTTGCAAGTGTGAGAGGCCCGTTTTCACGATCAGCCCGGCTCAAAAAGCGAACACTTCTGTGGAATGTAGCTACTCTAGAGAATCGTGAGAGCTTTCTTAAGCATAAAGATTCTCCAAGGGGGAGAAACCGTGCTGCACCTAAGGATGCCATGTTTACTGGCGTTTTTTCACTACTAGTTGTGCAAGTTATTCATAATTCATCATAGCCAAGCCTGGTCACAATATAGCCAGAGACAATCCTCCAAAAGAAAGCAAAATGATCTCCCCTCGACCTGCAAGTTAAATTTGATAAAAGAATATCATGTTCAGCATCAAGCCTGATAAATGGAACAAATATTATCTTGCGTTTGTGGATGAAAACTGATTTGAACTTTTGAAGGACCTAACAGAATGCGTAATACTACCGACTATCAAACACTACAGACATCAAGGAAGAATCAAATGCTAGCAGTAACATTCTTTCAAGAAAAGATAATTGAACATCATAATCATGCAGGTTATGTCTAAAAACCTGGGCATAGTGAACCACACTATTCACTACATGATACCAACTTCCCAACCCGATTGACCCCTTTCCGTTTTTGTTCAGCTAAATCACTTCAATGGTATAGCAATAAACCCTAAAACCTAAACCCTAAATGTTAAACCCTATCCTTTGAATCAAGTAATAAGCCTAGTGGAGTATATTAATTCTAGCAATTAAGAATAATTTGAGAGGTTTAGGGCAGTCTATAACCACCAGAGAAGAAAAATGGTACACTCTTTTTCTTCCAAAACTAATCTGCCGAGCATCATTTCTTCAAAACTACAAGTTCTCTAATTGTGGTTATCCTATTCAACTCGACGCCCCAAATTACATACCAAAGAGACAGACATATTTGTATCCATGCACATATGTATGGGGAGCTACTTTACCAACCAATCCTTTAGGGGGAAAAAAACCAAATTCCCCTCTGAGTGAGGCATTTTATCGAGCAAATGGAGACCAACAATAGTTCGAAAGGGGAAATTCGAATGGGTTCTCTTGGCAACCAAAAGGGATGCAACCAAGAAGGAGGAAATGAATTGAAACAGATATATAAATATATATGATAAATCCCAAACTCCAGTAGCGAGAGAGAGAGAGAGAGAGAGCTGGGGTCACCTTATTTACTCCAACGTTGGTGTCAATAGAACAGTCGCAATGGTGGAATCGAAAGCTAAAACCATATTGTGGGTTTCTCCAAACCATTCATTCACTGGGTTCCGAAAACAGGGGCTAACTTCACTTCTGATTACTACCCCGAGGTATGGGCTCTTTGAGCAATCTGGAAGAATTTTGAAATAAAATTATCAAATTTTTTTTTTTTTTGAGTAACTATCAAATTGAATTTATTTACATTTGTTAAAAAAATGAGTACTCTTTTTTTTTTTTTTTCGGAACAGGTAAACCTTTGTTCACAAAGTCATAACAGTGATATGATTTAATACAGTAGATTTAATCCAAGTAAACAGGATTACTGTTTTGGGTTAGGGTTAGGAGTGCCACTTGGGCGAATTAACCTGAACTAAATTAAAAAAAGTAAGTATTTGGATTGAATTTTTTAAAATTTTAGTTGAGCTCGGGCCAAAAATCCTCGACCTAAATTGAATTCGAGTTGGGATAGAATTGTGGCTTCGGGTTCAAGTTTTATTTGTTTAAGCATTACAAAAATACATTGATAATACATTGATTCTGATTAGCTGTACATGGACTGTTTGAATCTCACTGGCGTCAGCTGTATACGGCGGTAAATTGTTTTAACATATTGAATCTAGAAAAGCAAATTGTTGGCTTTTATTTTTGATATTTTATTTTTTTTTAAATATTATTTAAATTTAAATTATTAATTTAATATATCATAATTGATAAAAAATTTCCTCCGTAGTATGATTCATTGATAATTATTATAATTAGATGACAAATAAATTAAATCTAAATAATATTATTTTTTATTTAATCCTTATGAATAGTTACTTATCCCGAGTGGACCTCTTCAAACATGAAAATTCCATAGACAAGAAGATCTTGGAAACTCCCTGGGTATAAATTTCTAGTTGCCATTTATTCCACAAACGAAGTTGCACTCTCAGTACCCTCTGAAACTGCCAAGAACTATCTTTCCATCTCCTAAATCTCTCCCCCTCTGCATATAAATACATATCAAAGCTCACTCCACTGCTGTACCACATGCTATATACATTTTGATTCTATATATGCTTGTTAGTGAGTNAATATTATCTTGCGTTTGTGGATGAAAACTGATTTGAACTTTTGAAGTACCTAACAGAATGCGTAATACTACCGACTATCAAACACTACAGACATCAAGGAAGAATCAAATGCTAGCAGTAACATTCTTTCAAGAAAAGATAATTGAACATCATAATCATGCAGGTTATGTCTAAAAACCTGGGCATAGTGAACCACACTATTCACTACATGATACCAACTTCCCAACCCGATTGACCCCTTTCCGTTTTTGTTCAGCTAAATCACTTCAATGGTATAGCAATAAACCCTAAAACCTAAACCCTAAATGTTAAACCCTATCCTTTGAATCAAGTAATAAGCCTAGTGGAGTATATTAATTCTAGCAATTAAGAATAATTTGAGAGGTTTAGGGCAGTCTATAACCACCAGAGAAGAAAAATGGTACACTCTTTTTCTTCCAAAACTAATCTGCCGAGCATCATTTCTTCAAAACTACAAGTTCTCTAATTGTGGTTATCCTATTCAACTCGACGCCCCAAATTACATACCAAAGAGACAGACATATTTGTATCCATGCACATATGTATGGGGAGCTACTTTACCANGTGAGAGAGAGAGTGTGTGTATCAATCAACATGCTGAAGAGTTCAAGTCACCAGCCTGTGATCATGGAGATTACAGTCATTTCAGCTCAAGGCCTCAAGGACACCAACTCAAGTCTCTTCTCTCATCGTCTCCGACCCNCTGAGAGAGAGAGTGTGTGTATCAATCAACATGCTGAAGAGTTCAAGTCACCAGCCTGTGATCATGGAGATTACAGTCATGTCAGCTCAAGGCCTCAAGGACACCAACTCAAGTCTCTTCTCTCATCGTCTCCGACCCTTCATCACTCTCAGCACTGTCCCACCATTCTCGTACAGGCCAGCCACCAAGAGAGAGGAACACAGTCAAGTTTACAAAACCAGGGTGGATGATGGAGGAGGTGTTAACCCTTCTTGGGGTGACAAGTTTCAGCTACCAATTGATGCCACCTTCTTTTACCAAAGACACTCATGCATATACCTCCAACTATACACAAAGCATCTCATGGTGGGTAAGACATTTTTGGGTTGGTGTCAGATTCCGGCTACCGATGTCGCCGACAGCCTTTTACCAGCAACGTCGGTTCGCCACCTGAGTTACCGGCTACGGGCTAGGGACGGTTCGAGGGGTCATGGGGTGGTTAATATTGCAGTGAAATTGGAAGGTTTACCTCCGGTGGAATGCCCTGAACCGAGGAGAAATTCCTATACGACACACTCGCCAGAGATTAGGATGGGTCAGACAGTCGTCGGTATTCCGATGACAATGTTTCCGGCTATTGGTGACTGCCCAGTCATGGGTCACACTCAATATCAGTTAGGTGGCTGCGGTGTTGAAAAAATTACATGGCCATGAATTAAACTAAGAAATCTGGTTATTTATAAGTGGCAAGCAAAGGGTCGACTACTCCCTCAAATTCAGCAGTTAGCCACCTAATGATCAGTTCTTAGCGGGTATGAGAGAAGATTGTATTTTGTTCTATATATTAATATGAGTTTGACAAAAACTTCTACCAAGTTATATCTATGTATTAATTAGGATCAATTATTGGTATCTTCCATTAAAAAAGACTTCAAATCCTATCAACAAACGCTTTACAATTTGAAGGAAAAAAAAAGAAAGAAATGTGTCACTTGTAATAGCATGAATAGTTAGGTTCGACTTCGAATTCTCTTTCTCCATTAAGATTGATGTATGCGTCATTTATTTCTTCTAAAGCATGTTACACACAAGAACTTTGTACGTTTAATACGATCGTAAGTCGACTTTGCCGAGTCCGTGATAATCTGCCTTGCAAAATTTCTTACTGATTGGAAGACCAAATTGCGACTTCCCGTTAATGCGCCGTGACTTAGCTTAATGGAAAACCAGTCTGGTTTCCAAAGCTAGGGGTGTGTGTGTGTGTGTGTGAGAGAGAGAGAGAGGGAGAGAGTGTACACCAAACCTTGGTTTGGCCTGTAGCAGATAAATGCGTATAAGATTGAAAATTCAGAAAGACACCTACCATCTAACCAACCATTGAAAATTCGACAAATTGAATGATTCTTTGTCAATTTTCGCTGCTTGAGGTTTGTCCAGCATTCACTTCTTTGATTTTTAGTAATGGGATGGATTTAAATTCTCTCCGTCACTTATTTTCTTCAATTTCTGCGCGACGTGTGTAAAATTTTCACTTCTTTGTGAAAATTTTTCAAGACTAAACTACTTCACAAGCTGAGGCACTTCTAGTAGAGCTACCAATCATGCAGGAGAATCCGCTTGAAATGGAGTCAAACTACCACAACACTTGAATGAGAGCCTCTCGTTCCGTACATGCACAGACATTGATTTTCTTTATCCATTTTGTTGTCGATGGAATATTAATCATGATTAAGAAATTTTCTCATAAAAAAAAAATTTATCCATTGAAATTTCAAAATATTACACATGTCACTCATTTACCATTGTAGTGATAAGAATTGAAGAGAAAGGATAATGAAAAGGATCCGAAACTTAGATTCTTATCAACTCACTCACCCCCACTTATTACATAACTTAAATCTTACTCGCCAAGAATTTTTTTTCATGGTAAAAGTTTTAGCTCTCCATCACAAGGATTATCCCATCGTATGTCAAACTCCCTCTAATTTCACTTTCATATTGATTTTATGTCAATAGTAGAGAACAGTCTAGTGTCTGCTCTAGACCCATCAAAGGAATTTGACAAGCTAATGGCTCAAGACTTTTGTTGTTCCATGGCATTGGAAGGCAAGTGTCCATGAGAGAGCGCCACAAGTTCAAGCAAAGGAGTGAATCACAATCCGTAGACTCTAATGTGGAAAGTGTCCATAGTGTTACGGCGGATGTCGCTTCGTATCCAGTCAAATCATTACGACTTCACTACAGCACCCAAAACAAAAAATTGGTACTACATCTCCAAATTTTTTATCACTTTTATCATACTTGCCTTCAATCCTAATTAAAAAAATCCACAAAAATAATAAATAAGTCCAGTACCAAAAGAAAAAAATCGGCCGAAGACTTGGTCCAAAAATCATTAAGTAGTATCCTTCGCAGCAGCTAGCAATTTCCCCACATTTTTCCGCAATGACAGCAATTCCCAGCAACTTCTAGATGTAAATGCCACCGCAGAAGTAATATCTGTTTTTGACGTAGATTTCCATTATTATGATGGGCCAACAATTGCGAATCTTCCTTTTGAATCTCCACAAACCCCAAGTCAACTTGGTCCACTCTCGAAGAATCCGATCATATCCGATACTTTTTTAGAATCATCAAAAATATATCCCCACTGTGTATTGATAGAAGATATACTTGTATATAATAAGTCTCAATTGAATACACGATAAANCACTTTTTTAGAATCATCAAAAATATATCACCCACCGTGTATTGATAGAAGATATACTTGTATATAATAAGTCTCAATTGAATACACGATAAATATTACACTATAGAGAAAAACAAAATGTACTCAAAGACGCCCCAATCCACACCAAACTCTAGCCNTACTTCTTTGTGAAAATTTTTCAAGACTAAACTACTTCACAAGCTGAGGCACTTCTAGTAGAGCTACCAATCATGCAGGAGAATCCTCTTGAAATGGAGTCAAACTACCACAACACTTGAATGAGAGCCTCTCGTTCCGTACATGCACAGACATTGATTTTCTTTATTCATTTTGTTGTCGATGGAATATTAATCATGATTAAGAAATTTTCTCATAAAAAAAAAAAATTATCCAGTAAAATTTCAAAATATTACACATGTCACTCATTTACCATTGTAGTGATAAGAATTGAAGAGAGAGGATAATGAAAAGGATCCGAAACTTAGATTCTTATCAACTCACTCACCCCCACTTATTACATAACTTATATCTTACTCGCCAAGAATTTTTTTTCATGGTAAAAGTTTTAGCTCTCCATCACAAGGATTATCCCATCGTATGTCAAACTCCCTCTAATTTCACTTTCATATTGATTTTATGTCAATAGTAGAGAACAGTCTAGTGTCTGCTCTAGACCCATCAAAGGAATTTGACAAGCTAATGGCTCAAGACTTTTGTTGTTCCATGGCATTGAAAGGCCAGTGTCCATGAGAGAGCGCCACAAGTTCAAGCAAAGGAGTGAATCACAATCCGGAGACTCTAATGTGGAAAGTGTCCATAGTGTTACGGCGGATGTCGCTTCGTATCCAGTCAAATCATTACGACTTCACTACAGCACCCAAAACAAAAAATTGGTACTACATCTCCAAATTTTTTATCACTTTTATCATACTTGCCTTCAATCCTAATTAAAAAAATCCACAAAAATAATAAATAAGTCCAGTACCAAAAGAAAAAAATCGGCCGAAGACTTGGTCCAAAAATCATTAAGTAGTATCCTTCGCAGCAGCTAGCAATTTCCCCACATTTTTCCGCAATGACAGCAATTCCCAGCAACTTCTAGATGTAAATGCCACCGCAGAAGTAATATCTGTTTTTGACGTAGATTTCCATTATTATGATGGGCCAACAATTGCGAATCTTCCTTTTGAATCTCCACAAACCCCAAGTCAACTTGGTCCACTCTCGAAGAATCCGATCATATCCGATACTTTTTTAGAATCATCAAAAATATATCCCCACTGTGTATTGATAGAAGATATACTTGTATATAATAAGTCTCAATTGAATACACGATAAATATTACACTATAGAGAAAAACAAAATGTACTCAAAGACGCCCCAATCCACACCAAACTCTAGCCGGAAGGTTACTGCTACAATTCAACGTTTTCTTTTTCAAAAGAGAGTGGAGCATAATAGGGCATGATGTTCTCAATGCAATAAAATTCTTCAAATCTGGTATAATATTAAAGGAATTGAACAGAACGGCAATTTCACTAATCCCCAAACCATGCAACTTAGAAACCGGAGAACAGTCAACCCAATACCCCAAATACGGGTTACAACACAGCTTTCGGGCCTTGCAACTGTGTTTCTGCAACGTTGGTGTATATGCATAGACTTATCCTATTATTACCACAGGCAATGCAAAGATTATATTGCCAAATACCACAAAAAAAATATAAGTATTTATTGGCTATGCAAGTGAAATGAATAATTACTCATTCCGGCACTCACCAGACATCTCCAAAATTTTCAGCTGAGGAATACATGAAAATACAACACCCCTTTACAAGCCACCAATGGGCAAATGATTACCACGCTGCATGTCTAATCTCCGAAGTTGCATCTTGGAGTCTTTTCTTTATTGAACTGAAGCTGCTGTGGCCTTTCTCAGACCAGCGAAACGATGCACTTCGCTTTAGAAGATCTGCTACTAGAGGTGATTTGAAACTTGAGTCCTTCAATGGAGTGTCATCATACTCTGAAAAACATTTCATCAAGAATACTATTAGTTTAGAACGACAACAAAACGATTTCTTCCCACCCAACAAATTTACCCACAATAATAAGTGACTCAGAAACTAAAACAAAGAAAGCAGAAAGATCAAGAAAAAACAATTTCAAATTTGTACCTTAGTCAATAAACCGTGTTTGTTATGGTTTCAACTAACCAAAATAACCAACAGTTTCTAGTAAGGTGATGATATCTAAAGACCAACCACGAGTTACTAATAGATTCGAAAAGGTACCGTGTTCTCCTAATATCATGTAAAACCCAGTCATTGCCTCTAAATACAAAACTAGGGTTTCACACAAACTTCACTTCATCTGTTTTATCATATTGAACTCCCTTATCTTTGCTGGGAACCAGAATCAAGTATAGCTTTCAATGGCAGTCCAGTTGGCGGGAAAAAATATTATTACCCGAGGATGCAGGCAGCTGATATTGTCTTTTTAAGAACTTGGAGGCTTCTCTATCTTTCTTGTGGCATAATACTCGTATTAAGGTGTAAGCATCTCCCAAGGACATGCTGCCATTGTTATGTGACTCCAGCCCTACTGAAATGTTTTCACTTGCAGTCATCAACATATGGATAACAGATTCCGTCTGCCAAAAAGAGCGGAAAAGTTCATTAACAAAAATGCCAATTTTGACTACATATCTAGGTACATGGCAAGCTCAATCAGGAATCAACAAACCTGAAGGGAAAACAGACTCAAGATTTGATGGGCAAATTTTGCTTCCACCTCGACTAAGGATCGTGGAAGGCCTTCTCCATCAGCTACAAACAGGTCCTAAAAAGTAAACAAGCATAATTCTATTTACATATCCAGCTTTTTATGGAAGTTCATTTGATGATCATCTCTCTCATTTAAGTTAGTAATCCATTTAACATCATATGTAGTATGTCTCAAACTTAGACATAAGGCCGACCAGAGCACCAGGATCCCGCCACGGCGGGGTCTGGGAAGGGTTAGACGTATGCAGTCTTGCCCCCATATATGGAGATGTTATTTCCGTGACTTGAACCCTTGCCACCCAGGTCACAATGGAGCAACCTTACCTCTGCGCCAATGACATTCCCTAATATTTGGAATTCAAAAACTGAAAGAGGGACTGCTTGAATTAAGAGACTGCCACAACATGACACAAGCGAGGGAGGAATTTTTGGCAGTTCCTCAACACAATCCATAATTTCAAAGAAATATTTGTACATATACCTTCAATATATTCAGGTCATCTTCCATTTTTGTGATATCTGAATCAGAAAATGCACGTGAAGGCCCTCCATCTAGTAATAACCAGACATACCCTTCCTACACCAAGAACTATATGAAATCAAAACCAAACCAAATGGACTTTGACAGACTACACAATGGGAACAAGATCATACCAATGATGCCTTAAAGATGCTTGATACCACAAGATCTCTAAGCTTATCTTCAATCAAACCACATATTTGGTTGAGAATCTGCGTCAATGCCTCAAAAAATAAAACTTCTGCATAACAAAGCTTAACTTTGAAAAAATAATGAAAAACTTTGTGGAATATAAATACAGTGTGCATACAAGTGTACAAGCATGCATGTGTGTGAAAGGGAGGGAGAGATTAATAAATATAAATATCTTACACTATCAAACTGTGGAAGTATACTATCCAAGCGAGCACCTTCGACACTACCATGATATAAACGAAACAGGAAGGAGTCTCTCAAATCCAAAAACACAACTCTTGCACCTAGAGGTTACGTACACAAAGGTTTAGGCAAACTGTCATTGCAAGCATCAAAAGCTTAGTAAATTGAAGGGAAACAGGATGAATAAATGTACTGGAAAATTCCCATATCCAACACTACCAACAATTGCTCCCAGATAGCATATTAAAATTCAAAGAAAATTAATCTGGTTAGTCAAATTTGAACATGTTTTTCTTACATAACAAGGGGAAAAAAAGATTTCTTATGCCTTGAATATGATTGTTGATTATAAGCTATATTAATTGCACCAAATTTAGCTAAAAAAGACAAAAGTATAAGGAATATTTGGGCACCCAAAGACAACAATCATAGTTAAACTGAAGATTTATGGCTAAGGAAGGAAAGTGTTATACTACTTCTTGGAAGACATAAAAATGACACTAACATAAAATTCCGATAAAGTAGGGGTTTAATGCTGAAGAAAGTGTATAGTTTGGTTTAAAGGAAAGGAGGGAAAAGGAGAGGCGAGAAGAAAGACCTAAGCATCATGTGATTCCATAAGATCCTTTTTTTTCTCCTTTTTAAGATACTCCAGCTACCTTGATATGATAATATCCTGCTAGACTTCAAATGATCCCTTTCTCCAGATCAGTATAAAGTATTAGCTCTCTTAGATTTCTTGCTTAATTTAATGTTATAGTCCATTCACTCATTCATACAATTCAGCAAAGCCTAGAGCCAAACGAAACAACGAATAGTCTACGAATATTTATGGGCAACCAATGGAAAAGATCAGCCCCCTATTAACAATCAGTTTCAGAACAAAGCCCTCTACCCCTTTGATATCTTATATTCAGGCCCTCAGTTCCACCTAAATGTCATGCCCTGGATTTTCCAGGGCTAATTAAATGATTTTAGTGATAATTCATAAGTTTTACAATTTGAGCGAGCCAATTATGGTTCTATTTAATGAATTTCTTACTTGTGTTTCTTTTAGAAAATTGACATCCCTGAGCTACTGAATGTTCACACCAGATCCAATCTACCCTTCCTACATTTACTATCAAAAATTGAAACAAGAATTGTAACCTCCCGGTTTGCTGTAGTGACCTCACGGTGTGCCTGATTGGCGAGTTTGTCATCTCCACGACTTTTCCTTTTTTGGGTTGTTCCTCAAGCCTTTGAGTGTCAATCTTCGCTTGAGCTGGCTCCAAGGCTTTACCCTAGTTTTTCATTAGTTTCTCCCAGGGGCCTTTATCGTTCATATCGTGCATGCATCTTCAAGCAATCTGGGGAGGCGCCAAGTACATAGACGAGGCAGTCTAGGGAATGAAAGTCCATTCTCTTGTGCTCTAGGATTCCTTAACTTCAATTGAACAAAAAAAGTTCAATCATGTGAAACCATAGCGTAAGCGAAATCTGCCAGGAAGGCTAGGAGGAAGACGATCAGGATCTCACATATGGCAGATGTTGGAACAAACTCCGAAGTCAAAAGGTACCTATCTAGAAAAAAATGAAACTCACCGCTCACAGGTGGAAGAGAGATAAAGAACCATTTGGTGAAGTCCAGTCACCCAAAGACAGAATAGCACTACTTAGTGACTAAGAGCAGATCTCTCTATCTCATTAATGTCATTGTTTATTTTCTAGATCAGCAAAATTTTGAGGCTTCATTCTCCACAGTAATGGCTTTACTGTAATCCTTTCCCAAGCACCTCGTAATTCTGGCCGCCTTTCCACTCCTCACTTTGGTTTCCACCAAGCCAATCAAATCTNACTGTAATCCTTTCCCAAGCACCTCGTAATTCTAGCCACCTTTCCACTCCTCACTTTGGTTTCCACCAAGCCAATCAAATCTACCTCTTGTGCTCTTAAATAATCTTTGGCCTCTCTTTGCTTCTCAACTTTACCAATCTTTCTGACATTCCATATAAGGACCTTCATATGGAACAATTGTTGTTTTTACATTCCCCTCGCACCTTAGCGTTGCCTCTGATTTTTGGTCTTGTGCAACCCTTATTTGTCTTTTGTTCTTTAGCCTTGATTTTCCCCTTCCCCTCTCTTTCTTAGAATTCGACATTTCTGATATGTTCTGTATTTTGTTCACTCATTCTTCATTCAGGTTGGTTATAACAAGGGGAGGATCTTCCACCTTTAAGGTCATAGCACCTGCACCTAAACGCTTACTCTTACTACTCTTCTAAAGTTCATCTCTTTTCTTAGGATTGGCTACCCTAAGGTTCTTCTTTGGAGTCATTTGTTTATCACAGAACAAGTCCCCCTCAGTCACTGTCATAGTTGACCCAGTATCAACCTTCTTTTCTAGATCCTAGCTTCTATGGGCCAAATCACTCTCCTATGGAGTTATCTCATTGACTACACTCTCCGCTGGGGCATCTTTGCCTTTTCTTGTTCAGGGCCTCTAGAACCGCAAATCAGTTCGGGCTGACTAGGTCCAGTTGGGGAATTCCACTAGCACAACTAGTGTCCAGCTCCCCCTTTTGTAATTGTCACTACTGGTGCATGACCCTGTCGGCTCGACATTTTTGCAAACACCAAACTTTACTCAATAGGCAATTCAAAAGGAGAATGAAAACAGCTAACTATAGTTGTCCCTCCTCTTATTCTTTAAAAACAATTGTATAATTGTCCATCATTCTTTTTTTATAGATTACTGGATCCTAAGTTAGTATCACACGAATTAATGCAATTAGAAAAATATACTAACCCGAACACGTTTAAGTTATTTCAAACGATCAATCTCTCAATCACATTAAAAGAAAACAATTGAAAAATTTATGTCATGAAACTGAATAATAATAGACGATTCTTGAGATTTAATACAATGTTATCGTGTTCTACTTCAATACATTACTTTTTTTTAACTTACACCTTAATATATGATTGAGTTAGAATGTGCTATAAGAAAATTATTGTCTTTGTTTGTCCATATTTTGCTAATTGTTGCATTGATATTGGTTTTAAATTTCATATGATAATTAAGTCTTGTATTGTAATACATAATTTCTTAAACTTGAACTTAAGAATTTTCCAGTATAAATGTAATACCCAATTTAATCCTTATTAATCAATATTCAAAAATTTTTATCTCAATTAATTAATTTTTTCACCCATATTCTTGCCCCTTCTCAGATAGAGTTCTGGCTCCGCCCCTACTTACAATTAGTACCTTTTATAACTGCTAAGTTCCACTATCTTTTTATTATTTTATTAGACTATAAGGAGAAAAAGTGATGGCAAAGGTGCAACCCAAGTCACACGGAGCAAGAGCGAGAACCCAAAAGTGAAAATTTTTTAAAAAATCTTACAACGGGAATGCCTTGAGAACGTCATATTATATACATACATACATATTTACATATATATATATAAATTAATAAAAAAATATAATTAAAAAATTAAATTTCATACACAAATAAATGATAAATTATTTAAATTTATTTAAGTATTAAGCCTAAGCGGGGATTTTTTATTTTTTATTATTAATATAATTCTTTATTTTATTTTTATTTATTTTATTTTTTAAAATTCAAAATTACTAATAATTTTTTTGTATGTTCTTATCAAGAATTATTGTATTACATTTTCGACCATCATTATAAAAATTGTATTTGTTATTTTTTCATCATATAATTTCAATATCTTCTAATTATTAAGATCTATCACTTGCTTATTTCCAAACTTTCACTTAAATTTTTTGTTATTTTTTTATTACTAATAATAAATTTATTAAGAGATCTTTTTTTTATGATTGAATAAGTTTTCTATTTTTCTCTCTTTTTTTAAATTTCTTATATCTGAATTATTATTTTTTAGTAGCCTCAGTTTTTTGACAATCCAATTTTTTTATAAATCAATCAAATACTCTATAGAAAAACTTAATAAAAATCAAAATTATAAAACAATAACACTTAATTTTATCATTAGTGTTCCTAAAACTTAGGATATTAGAATGTGAATAAGTTGATTGAAACCATATTTTGTACAAAATAATATTGAAAAAGAAAAAGTGCGAGTATAAAATTATATATCGGGGCTGATTTGATGACCTTTGTTGTATGAATTAGAAAGACGGTCACAAGCCAAAGGGGAGAGATAATCCCTTATTTTGTTTTTAGATGGAAACAAAAATTAATTTTTTTTGTGTGTGTGAGAGAGAGAGGGGGGTGGGGGGTTGATGTTTTAACACGAGACATAGGAGAAAGTGTGTTTGATTGATGTAATTAACCAGTTAGAAAGAGTCATTAATGGTATTGATTATTGACTTTTTGACTTTTGCATGTGATAGTCAAATAACCTTTTTGTTTTTGTTAAAATTTCATGTTTTTAACCAAACGGGTTGTGAATTGTTTACTTTTGCTACGCCACAAGCACTTTTGGTCTTTTGGGCCCAGTTTTGTTAGTTTGAACTGCATAGAGCCTTTTTGCTTGGATTCAATTTTATTTGAGTTTAATTTTTTAGTTTGGATCATACTGAAGACTTGTAAAAAATGGGGTTTCATTTTAAATGGGGCCTAAAACAATCACTTCTTCAGCTTAGTTATTGGGTCGGCCCTGCAGTTATCCACTACAATTGTTTCTAAGACACTAGCAGATGTAATATCTTACCCCGATTGGAGGACAGAACAAGGAAACAGATGCTCTCCATAATGTCAACTCTTGAGATCTCATTCCACTATTGCTTGGTAAGCAAAACGTTAGGTGTCGTTAGGTATACACTATCAAATTCTATCCGGATGGCTCTGTGGACTGTCTCAAAGCTTGTTTAGTTGCAAAGGGTATACCCAGATTTATGGTGTTGATTAAAGAAAAACTCTCTCAGATTGCCAAAATCTCTTTAGTGACTGCTAAACCTGGTTAGTTCTTATTTTAATTAGATGTTAAAATGTCTTCCTCCATGGTTATCTAGCTAAAGAGATTTGCATGTAACAACCACTTGGGTTTGTTACTCGAGGAGAGTATCAAGGCAGTGTATGCAAATTGAAGAAAGCCTTGTATGCACTAAAACAATCCCCGCAAGTATGGTTTGAAAAGTTTTTCGAGGCAGTGTTAGACTTTGGTGTTCATAGATGTGGATCCAGTATTTTATTTACGAACTGATGCAAGAATATTTTTCTTGTTGTGTTTGTTGATAATACTGTGGATATTACTCAGTTAAAATAGTTTTTACAGCATCGGTTCCATACCAAAGATCGTGGTAAACTTAGATACTTCCTTGGTATTGAAGTTGAAAGATCTAAATAGAACATTAATTTGTCTCAAAGAAATTAAGTGCTTGAACTTTTGTAAGAAATAGGACTCTTAGGTGGTCGACTGGTTGATATCCCTATGGATTCAAACCACAAACTTTAAATTACTGGTTGATCTTGGACAGCGTGTCACCTAATTAGGAAGTTGAATTATCTCACTATTACTCGACCAGACTTCTCATATGTAGTGAGTATAGTCAGTCAATTTATGAAAGCTTCACGTGTACCTCACCAGGAAACTGTTATTTGCATTGTCCGATATCTCAAGAAAACTCCAGGACTTAGGACTGTAGTCTAGATCACATGGACACCTTCGGTCGGAAGAGTTCACATGTACAGTTGGTCCTCCCTCAAATAGACGATTTACTACAAGCTATTATACCTTTTTGGGAGATAATCTGGTTACATGGACAAGTAAAAAATAGACAATGGTATCACGATCTAGTGTAGAAGCCGAGTATAGGACGATGGCTCACACTTGTAGTGAGTTAACATAGTTACAACACATTCATTCAAGAAATTGGTTTTCAAACTTCGCTTAAATTGTTTTTTGATGATCAAGTTGTTGTCCATGTAGCCTCTATTCCAGTGTTTCATAAACGAATAAAGCATATTGAGGTTGATTGTCAATTTATTTAAGAAAAGGAGTTGTATGAAAACATTATTACCCCATTTATAAAATCTAAAGATCAACTTGTTGATATATTTACAAAGTCCTTGAATAGTACTCGATTGAGAGATATTTATTCCAAGCTGAAATTATATGATATATTTTCTCTAGCTTAAGGGGGGTGTTAAGAGTATATGCAGAAGTGGTAGTATTGTAATAAGGATATCCCTAAGTTATATTTGTATTTTACATAGTTTTACATACATACATATATATATATATATATATATATAAAATGTTTGATTATGGTGAAGATGAGAGTGCTAATCCCATCATCTTTTGCTCTACCAATTCTTTCATTGAAAACTGACATACCTTCATCATCAAGAACAACAGCATGTTTAATGTTATCTCTTAATTCTTGGGTAAGGTAATTAGTCCACCAATTACTTAATACTCCTGTGAAACCAGAGGTGATCATATCAACTAGTTCTGGTTCAGAGGGATCAAGGTTTGAAACGTAGCTATTGGCTACCATAGAGAGGTGACTAATTTTGTTAAAGATTTCTTGTTCACTTAATCCATCTATGTTCCATTCATAGAGTTTATTGGATTGAACTGAAAACTGATTACTAATATTCTTTTCTTCAAATTGAAGATCTTGTGGTGTTGGTCTGGTATACCAATTTTTTGTAGTACTGGTTGGATTAACTTTTGAAAAAGTTAATTTGTTAAGCTAGAAGTTATCAAACTATTCTTCTAATCTTCCAATTTCAGAATTAGGTGAGCTTTCTGAGCTACTGGTTTCTGATACCAAAATAAGAAACAAGTGCGGAATAATAACAGAAATGAGAAGAATCACAAGCTGTAAATATAAGAGTGGTGATAAAAATTAAAATTTGTTATTAAACCTTGTTTATATGAACAAGCTACAAATTTCAATATCAAAAAATAAAATACTTACAACACTAGCACTACTGGACTAGTGGGTGTAGTGGGATAGGAGTGAAAGACTCTTCATTTGCATCATTATGAAGGCTTCTTACAATATAGTGTATAGGGAT